TAAATACAATATTTCAAGTGTGTTGATGTTAAAAGAGGAATGAAACATGTGGAATAAGTCTATTTTTGGATGAAATGGAAATAGCACAATCATGTTGTCCTTTAAAGCACAATCATGAATCACGTTAAGTGCTCAAAAATTCCAATAATCTCAACTAACACACCAAGCATTTATAGCAATCATTACTCACAAGCCACAAGATATCTATAGTTTCTCCCCCTGTACTCTCTCTATCGTATTCTAGCACATGTAAATAAACCATGAGATGGGTTTTTAGTTCACTTACTCATTCCCCTCGATACACAATTTTAACTTAACCACACACTGAAAGAAAATAGTAGTACGCCTTTACCGGATAGTGCCTTTTAGACCAACATTTATTCATATTCACAATTGCAAGCGCTCCTTAAAAAAAAGAAAAAAAAAAAAAAAGTTACACTAAATTGTTAAAAAAATACACAAAGATACAAGCCGATACAAAGATACGGCTTGTTTGTACAGTGTATGCGTGAACATATCAGGGAGAAGGGAAATGTTCCCAGTGATATATTTTTTTAATACTTGTGATCCATACCTAATGCATTACTGTTTGTTTTAAATTAATTTCGAATCTCAGTGCTTCATACAATTTACGAAGAGTAAATACTCAAAACATAGCGGAGTTAAATAACATTGTGGATATCAATTACATAATCTATTAAATTTCATACAAAAATTGCCACAGGTCCTTGACAGTAACACTGAAAAGAGGGAAGGAGGAAGGGGGCACATTATCTGTGGGACAACACCTGCTCAGAATACAGTCAGCATCTGAAGAACGGAATGCAAAGCGTGGGTACAAAGCGGGAACACGTTTTCTAATACACAATATACTGAAACAAGCAATTTTTCTAACCCTGTGTCCCACATACTGTAGTAAAATGTCCTACTATGTTATTTCTCAGATGTAGAGCGAAGAGAGTCAAAAATGTATATGCATGCCCCCCCCCCCCAAAAAAAAAATAAATAAATAATATCAACAAAACCATTCGGCAAAATGCATTCCCCCGACTTCTAAATTCTATGAAGTCTATCTACACTAATTTAACGGACTGCAGTTAGTTTCTGGTCAATTTTTCTCAAACGAAGGATCCTTTATGGCCAAAATACTTGAGAGACTCTCGACTCTTGCCCATAAACCGCCGACTTTACGCACAAGGCACCCAAGCTCTTGAAAATTAAGTACTTAAAAATGCCCATTGATAACATGATATATGAGCTGTATCTTGTTTTATATTGAAGTGCCTTTTCTAATAGGGAGATAAGGCATACTTTATCATTGGCAAACAACACAATGGAACTTGCCTTCCACAAAAAGCGTTGGCGTACCGTGCTAAATAAGTTAAACAAATAACTTAATGGCGCATTGTAGTGGCTAATAAATGTATAGAGTGTCGCTTTTTACTATTTAAGATATATAAGTGACGGGATTTTATTTGTTTTAGTGATCATCGTATGTTAGAATAGCAAAGACGATAAGATATTTGTTTCTTTACGAGAAGAGGAATAGGTATTAAGTTTTATTTAACTTTTTAAACATTTTTGTAGAAATCTTGTACTTATAGTTTAAAAGCTTTATCTAATAAACCACCCTAAGTCTTATTTCCCTGCTAACTCCCGTTTGGTCTTAAACTATTTTACAATATATATGAAGAACAGGCCTTATCAATTTTTTATTAAACAATTTATCAATGTTCAAACATTTGCAAAACAAACCAAATGCCTTATACTGTACATTTATCAGGCACAATTGACAGCTCAAATAAATAAAGGTATTTTCTTCGAGGTGAATTCCTGTCAACAGCAGATTTAGAGTGAAATGTTTCTTTTTTTTCATGAGCAAGACAGACCATGCACTTTACCAAACATTAATTAAATCATTGATTGCAGATCAACCCATCGTGGGCCAATTTTGCAATTATTGTCCAGGGATGATCATTTTTTTCATCAATGAGATTTTTTATAAATCCTGCATATGTACGAATTTAATTTTTTCCGTGTGCTAAAAACGCTTTCAACCTCGTTGGGCCAAATGTACTGTGAAGTACCTGAGGTCAACTGACTGGTGACTTCAATTCGATTAACTAATTTTCAAAGTAAAGAAAGTGCACATACTTAGCCAGAGACATAACATAAAGTGAAAATCGATCTGTGACCCCGGTAAAGAGTACATGTAACTATGAAATACGATGTCCACTTTTCCGCCTAATCCCTTGGCCCTGTTAAGTATTAACTCTAAACGATATCATTGATATTTCAGAACGCTGTGGCGTAATAGTGGATATAGTTGCTATGCTGCTCTAACAGTAGCCTTGTGTGCTAACGTGCTGAACGGCCGTTCTAGCTGGAGATAATTGAGAATGTGGACACAGGGCCTCAAAACAATTTTCATTGAGGATATAGGTATAATAACAATATACTCCCTAGCAAGGTCTCTCTAGCTCTTACACTGTACTAAAGGGGCTAAAGTCCTTCGACCGATTCTGTAGCTGCAAGAACAGCTAGCACGGTCTCTGATGGACAGTAATCATAACAAATGTACACGTCCAACATGGAAAAGGAGGGGTGTGGCGAATTAAATGCTTCATGACACAATGATTACATCTATACATAAAAAAGAAAGAGAAAATCGTGATCCATATTTACTTTAATTACGAATCTGCAACAATCAGGCAAATGAAAATCCCAATGGTAGTCTTCTTCTTAATCTTTTTATTTTTTCTATTGATTGATTAATTGGGGTCTAATCAGTCCTTAACTTGAGTCAAGCGCTCAAAAATTGTCCACGTCACCAGGAAAACGTGTTGTTTGTCTCGACAAAATTCCATGCGCTGTTCTTTAAAACATTAATGTCTAGCCCTCAAAATTTACTTTGTAAACAGATAAGCATTTGTTGCCAGTTACTTAAAAATGAAGCAGACATACAGAAAATGTTAAGTTGCAAATAAATAGATTGATGACTTCCGGGTTTGCCTTCTACCGAAATCTATCTTGATTCCTAAAATTGGTGTATAAATAGAAACTGATATATTTAAAATTGCGGAAATTCGTTGTAGGGGAAAAGTTAATTTAAGTTTGATAATATAATTGTTTCACTATGTGATATGAAAAAAATAATGTGTCATCGATGACCAAAAGCAAATAAACAGTCGTGTTAGACTGAACTTGCTTTTCGTCGACTTTCAACTCCAAATCTCACATAATTTTTCCCTATTAAATCATAATAAATATTCATCTGATAAAATTTTGCCTCAATTATTTCAGCATATTTTGTATACACCTTTAGGCTTGTTTTCGAACCACTCTGTGAATATAATATTTCTAGTTTCTTTGCATTGTCTCATCCTGGAAAAAGAGATCTCGGTACAGAGTCTAACATAAGTGGTACGTAATGATAAGAAAATTATTTACAGTGTACAGAATCATAAAAATAAAAAAATAAACAAATAATAATATTGAGACCCATTTTAACAGCACCTTTATTTAAATTACCAGGAGTGGTAATGAACTTGTGAACAAAATTTTAGTGACATCATGAATTGATTTTTGTAATTTTTGAACAGGGTGTTTCCTTCATAGCAATGTACTTATGTCAACATGTCAACAGTTGTGTGTGTTCAGTATCAGCCGGGGGGCGTAATGGCCCTCAGCATCATGCTGATAAGGGGAGAGGAGCGTCAGCAACTTGGCTGTATTTAGTTTGCCTCGTAAGGCAGAGTTTCGAGAAGAGCCGAAGAAGTTATATACCTATGTCCATTCGTTACAATCTTCCATGGTTGGATGATTGTTGACCGATGCAAGTCTGCAAGTTTCTTTAGTGTAAGCTCAAATTATGTGTTTAAACTACATCCACGCGCTCCTTATATTCTAAATACAGATTTATTTACATATATCGGCACATCTTTTTAGATTATGGCGGTTGTGAATGCCGGATCCAAATTCCAACACTCATGGCTTATGAAATCCCTTTTTGAGATAGTATTTTTCTACTACTTGAAGTATAGTCATTAAGAAACTGTTATAAGTGCACCACACCCATGTGATTTATTTGACCCTTATCTCCTTACTTCAAGTTACGGCATTTAAACTGTCCACTCAGTTACTGTAAATCACTGATATGTACAATTCTGTTTACTGGACTGTAGATGAGAAATTGACCTTTCTCTCTCTCTCCCCTTTTCTCTCTCACTCTCTCTCTTTTCAAGGTATACATCAGTGCTTTAAATCGCACCCGGCCAATATTTGTCTCCAACTATTCCTAGTTCATTCTTTCTCAATTTGCAACGAACATGAATATAAGTGATAACATACGCGAATACCTAAATTTCTTGTTATGCTATCAGCCACTTTATCTATAACATTATTATAATTCTAAAATCACCAGGCGACAACTGTTTAACTGGGACACAGAGACAGAGACAATCAGTTGCTTTGGATTTCAATAACATTTTCACGCAGCTTCTTTTTCACAAAATTACTTAAAGTTTATTGATCACCATTGGACCCGCACAGAACTAAGTGGAATTGGATATATTTGACAAAAGTATTACTTTGCATTTTTTTCTGTCTAGACAGAAATGGCATTTTGATGAAGACAAAATCGCAAGCTTCAATACACTGACTTACTGACTGGGATAAGGAAAACACACTATTACATTTTTAACTTGGTAATGTTATGGGTGGGATGTTTGAAGACCGTATTTAATATCAATTTTATCCGTTTTAGTTTTTTCTTTATAGATTTCAACATGCATAAAAGGACGAAATATAAGTACAAAAGTAGCTTATAAAATAAAAATAATAGGAATATAAACAAACAGAAAAAATAAAGTTCCAGAAAAGGCATCTTGTCATTTTGTAGGTTTTTGTAGCGAATCGGACCCTTCATTTTCGCCCTTGTTGATAAGCTAAATACAACTAAACAGAAAAATATAAAGAATAAATACACCGATTCTACTTACCGCAAAGAACGTCCCCAAACTCGGCCACAGCGTTACCTTGAAGAGAACCTTGAATAAACACTGCATGAAAGTTAGGAGATAGGGAAAACACATGGTGGCTGCAAGTCCCCATATCCACCTCACGGAGACCTCATCACAGCGAACCTTATCCGTCAAATTGGTGTCTTTGTGAACTCCCGGATCCACTATGCAGTTCGTCAAATTCCCAAACATGTCAACCTCGCAAGTCAGCCACTTTTCTGTCCTAGACTGGGCCACCGAGATCATAAGCGTGATTTTATGGATGACGGTCGACCCGAGGATGAAGAAGAGGAGAAGCCAGTATACGATCACCTTGCAGACCCGCTTGGTTACCTCTAGGCACCAGCTCTCTGAGAGTTCTTCGTTGTCCGGTGATGTTATACGGAAAATGTCCCAAAGCTTGGCGGCAGGTCCCTTGGGCCTGTGAAATAATGAGTAGTTTTTTAAATTTTCATTTATGAACTGCTGTGTGTGTGTGTGTGCGCGAGAGAGAGAGAGAGAGAGAGAGAGAGAGAGAGAGAGAGAGAGAGAGAGGGAGGGGGGGAGAGAGAGTGAGAGATTGAGAAGATGGGGATGCAGCACAGGAGGTTAAATACATATATCACAAACAGGACGATTTTTTAATTACAATAAATGTATAAAAACTCGACATTACTTTACGCCCTGCTCTTTTGGCATCTTCATTGCTGACTTTCTCCGCGAGGGGGGTGGTGACGTCGGGAACGGTGGTGGTTTTTCTATCTCTGTCTTCTCATTTCGAGTATCTAAATGTTTGTAAGCCGGAGGGTCCTCTTCGTCTTCATCTTCATCTTCGTCTTCATCTTCTGAATCGCTCAACTCAGGCAAGGTTTCTGCCTCGCTGGCTTCGCTCTCCCTTCGCAAACGATTACCACCAAATCTGTTTAATCCAGTACTAAAAGTGAAATTTTCCATGTTAAATAAAGTTGGATTTTTTTGCTCTAAACCGAAAAGAGATCCCTTGCGAACCACATGTCCGATTTCACCGTTTATCGCCGAATCAAACTTCCCAGGGGTAATTTCCACATCCCCCGGGTCTGGCAGCGGCGTTAGAATATCGTCTTCGGTGTCTGACATTGTATTTCCAGAAGTCACCTATTACGCTTACAGCACTTTTCTGCCGATAAAACTTAGCTAACGCTCTTTTCACTATTCGGAGCGATGGCTGATAAGAAGAAACGACGAGAACTCTCGAAACGGCAATCAAAAAGTTTGACTTGCCGTACCGGCGCCGCAACTTACGTAACTGATACAAGTATCGGGGAGGTTAGAAACAAATGATCACAAAAGATCGTCAGAGTGTCACATTTCTAGTGACAAAACCGACGTCATTTTATACGACATCATCCAGTGGTAAACTTGTCAATGATTAGCCACGAAACTACCGACCGGTCTTACTCCAACCGGATACAGTGCCACAGTGATTGGGCCAATAAAAAACGCACTTCAATAAGTGCATAGATTATCAGTTATTACGAAAGCCGCACTTTGACCCGTGCAGACACTGACGGTATTAGAGGTTTCCGTCCAGTGGGACTTTTGTGGCACTGTTTGTTTTGTTTGTTGATTTTGTTGATAGTATAAAAATGCTCGTGCAGTTATAAGCTTACCCTGACAGCCACTAGAAATTAATGATAATAAGTGTAGACTTCGAGTTCTTAGAATTTTTCTATACAAGTCCGTGCATGTTAGTTTGATTTTTAGTGTGTGCGTGTGTGCGTGTGCTCAAACAAGTGTAGATGCGGTACCAACAGCTTTCGTATTTGTAGTATTTCAGAAAACCCCCTTTTTCCAGAAGTCACGGGATGGGCCAGTATTTCGATCGTGAAAAAAAAGAAAGTGAGAAAAAAATCTCGCTTCCCTTATATTAACACACTGAATTAAAAAATCTCCTGTGTCTTCCAACAAATGTGAAGATCGTCTGTGTTTTAATCAAAAGGGCAAGCCTAGGGGTAAGACATTCTTTGATTATCTTAAACATGTAGTTGACCCTCTGCGAGCAGCAGATTCGTGCACAAAAAATATCCGCGTCGAATGAATTCGTGTTTTGCTATATTGACAACGAAAAAATTTAAAGGAAGGTGTTTAGAATATAGCCATGAATGCCACAATTTACATAAACATTAATTGACCCGTGGGTCGGGAAGTTACCGTTTGTGAACTTTGAGGGTAACGGATGCTTAGGCATTGTGATAGAGATAATTTACATTCCGTACCTGATAATTTACATTGCTTTCCTGATAATTGGCCTGTGTCATAAACCTATTTATATTTTATCTATTTAAACCAAGGGCGTCCTTCCTCCCCCGCCCCCCACACACAACTACCCACACCTCATGTCTTTTATATAGTTATCGTAATCATTGTGACTTTAATTATCTACGTCTCCCTTAATTTGCCACAGTTTACGTGACTATAACTAAAAAAGTTTTAAAATGGTTCAAATGGAAGAACACCTAAGAACTGAACAACAAAAAAAAAAGAGTTTCAGAAATTCATAAAAGAGAACTATCATTTTCTCATTAACGAAGAAAATCTTTCAGATTTATACGATTTTATGAGTTTCATTTAATGGTATCGAAGTTCAAATCCTTTTCTCCCGCGGCCCTTCGCCGGTCATTGGGCCACTAGCACGGGTATGACAAAATACTATTTCATATAGATCGCATGGGTGTGTCAGATAACCAGGCTTTTAAAGAAAGAACCGGGTTTCTGGGGTATTGTGTGCTAGCTGAACCGTGCTTAGTGTTCTAGGCATGTGAACTATGGTATGATCCCCCTAGGGAAGTCTTGTTTATATTGACATTGAGAAAATCGGGAGAGGAGGTCCTTCATTAAAATAGCGACAATTCTGGGGTGGTGCGAAGGTCTGTGCTTGTAAGAAGAACAACAAAATCTTAAATAAACTAGAAAATAAATAAATACGGAGATATTTTGATAGACTATCAAATAAAGAAATAAATATTTAAATCTTACAGCTATCCTCAACACTACAAGATATCACAGTGAATCTAATGAAATGGACATTTATTTGACAAGTATGGTGGGGTATTCAATCAGGCGTTTACGTCATCGTCCCCCGTACACTGTATGTCCGAGTCGTGGTTAAGGTGTTGTGTACAATTCTTAGCATATTTACATGTCCACGTTTGTGGTACAATACGTGTCCAGCGTCAATTTTGGCTGAATCATATTTTATCATGGAAATATATCAAATGGATTTTAATTTTAATGACGTTAGGTCGAAAAATTTATCTCTGTGACATATTAATGCATGAGATGAAATCGTTAACCGAAAATAGAAGAGAGGTGTTATCTAAGGGTCCATTCCCAATGAAGCCCAATGAAACCCAAAGCGTTGAGTACAATATAGAAAAGCTGGTGATTATACAAGTACGCAGGAAAGAATGGGTGTATTAATATGTGTATCTGATTGATACACCTATTAATCAGATACACAGATTAATACACCCATTAATCAGATATACAGATCAATATACCTATTAATCTGTGTATCTGATTGCATTCAGCGAAACTCCCAGTGGATTTCAATCGATCTACGTAGAATGACACTTTCATTGGATGCTCATGGAAGGCATCAGTGTGTGGTGAAGCTCTGTATCAAATTTTCAATGATCACTTTATTTTCAAAGGCAGAAGTGCATCGATATCACTTCTTGTGCAAATGTTTACATAGGGATAGGATAGGATAGAAATAACGTTGGTCTAACGGGCTACCTACGTCATTACAGTTCTTGGAACTGTAACTGTGAATATAATAGTAAGGAATTGTCGCTTTATTATACTAATTTATATGAGACAACTGATTTCTAGAAATCATTTGAAATTATATTAAAGGTTTCTCTTCTATATGATTTACAAATACGTACAATACAAACATATCCAAAATGCATGACTCATTGAAATGCAATGCTACTAGTATATATACAAAAAAATATACCTCTATATGTTAAAAAAAGCCAAATAGCGTTCTATTATATATCCATCTCATACAAAAGAATTTAGCAAAACAATGCAAGTGAGCAAATTCCTGAACCAAGTTCTTAAAGGTACATTTGACCCGAGCATCGGTGGAGCGTGGATTCCCAGTTACACACATAAACTCGAAGTCGAATAAAGTCAACATGCCAAGGGCTAAACCGAATTAATCACTCCATCAGCCATAAAAGAATTAAATTAAAAACTGCACCTTCTTGAAAATTTTGGTCCTTTGACCTTACTTATCTGACCTTCTTATCTGAACTGTTCATATAAAGCAAACATAACGAGCAGAAAATTCCGTTAAATATCATTTTTCGGGTAATATGCAACTATGCCCTTTGTTATTTTTCTAAGATCTACTGTTTGGAACTTAATGGTGACATTTGGTCGGCTTTTGTGGCCAAACAATTTAACTTCAAATGCACTTTTACAATTTCTCACTCCAAAGAACGTCTGTGTCATTATCAGATATAATTTCGGGGATAGACCCAGGTGTGTTGGCGAGACTAGATCCTGGTGTGTCAGCGGGACTAGATCCAGGTGTGTTGGCGAGACTAGATCCAGGTGTATCAGCGGGATAAGACCCAGGTATGTCGGTATACACTCCTTCATCTCCCTCGAACACAGGGTTATCGTACTCCTTGTTCGGCACGACCGGCACATCAAACGTGCCGCTTCCAGAGCTTTCCGCCGACTCGTTGATAGTCTCAATTTTTTGTGCCTTAACACCTTTCTTCAGTTGAAACGCTCGGGTGAGCTGGATGGCTCTGGCTGCCCCTTTCCACTTGTTACGTAAATTGGAAATCTTCTCTTCTTGGAAAACCTGGTCCCACTCATCGGCTAAGCTTGCTAGAGCTTGCTTGCATTTACGATCCTGGTAGCTGCCAGCCATTGTGTGCCGCCGTCCATGTTGTTGCTGAAGTTTCTCAGGTCCTTGGTCGGACAATGCCAAGAAGCGCTCAACAAATGCTTTATTCATAGTGGCGTATCCCTCCTTAACTGTCTTCTTCTTTTTCTTGACGTGTTTTGCGAATGAATTCTTCCTCTCTCTGGCGAAATTGAACTCATCGTCAGAGGCACCGGAGGTGAAGCTGCACACTGACATCCTGTCGGAATCGTCATCGCCCTGTGGAAGACGTTGTAAGTCGCGCACAAGAGCGATCTTCGCGGCAGTTTGATCAAGTTTTCCAGATACGGGTGTGGTAGATATGATGTGCCAGAAGGTCAGCAGACGATGAGCTATCATTCCTAGAAGCTGAATGAGCAGAACCAACAGGAAGAATACCAAGAAAACCGTCCCAATTGGCTCCAACGCCAAATTCTTCGTGGCATTATATCCACAACTAAAAGGCCAAGGTATAGAAAGTTTACCTTTTTCTTTTTGGAGCACAAATACTACCACCACAAAAATTGCGTTCAGAAGAAAGATGGCGAATGTGACCTTGTTGCGCAAAGTTTTTAGCTCGGCAGCCATGTGCTCCTGGTGCTTTGGGTCGTTTTCCAGTGGGAACAAGTATTGTTTGATGAGGTCTTGCCAAAACTGTGTCTCTGCCTTTTCTTGGAGAACTACAGGACCTTCCTTAAGGCCCTCGTCCTCCGTCCACATTGGATTGACGAGTTCGTCACGTTCTTCCTCTTCAAACACTGGGTTAACTGCATTGCGAGAATAAAAAATAAACGCAAACTGAAAATTTGAAAATAATGTAAAGATTTGTTGCAGTTTACTAAAACAAAAAAGACATAAACCCACATAATACTTTTCAGGTGTTCATTTCCAAAATCATATACATGCACTTTGTAAATGTTTGACTGCAAATATTGTTCCCTTCACACTGCGCGAACATTCTTGAGGTCCACGGGTCGGTATGAAGGGCCACCACGACTTAGTAATTCACAGCACAAAGTAGTCGCCATTAAACCGATTAGATTTTATAATATATTTTACTGGAACGCCTTCAGTTTTACTGATGTTCAGCGTAAAGCCAGTGGGCAACACTGAAGGCGGGTTCAGCACAACCGAACACAACCTACCGGTAAACACATCCGCCTCCAGGATGTCTAACTTTGGAAAGTTCCCGTCCTCTGTCGTAAAAGACGGTCGGCGATCTTCTACCATACTTTCGGTGGGCACATGTAAATTACTCTCTGCCGTGGAATCTGAGAAACAAGTAAATACATTCATTAACTTCTAGTAAAAACATAATTAAAGCTAGAAAAGCACTCAGAAAGCGCACACTCCGCCAAGGCAGCAAAGCCTCCGTCCAATGCCGTTTCACCCTTAAATTTTCCATATTTTTGATTATTGATTTTTGATTATTATTGATCCGGATCACCACCAAAAACTAACCATCTGTTCCTTGGCCCATTTCTGACAGTTCCTGAAAATTTCATCAAAATCGGTCCATAACTTTTTGAGTTATGTTGATGACAGACAGACAAACAAACAAACAGGGGTGAAAACATAACCTCCTTGGCGGAGGTAATGAAAAACCAAAAAAGAAAATAAATATATTTGTGATTTATTTCACGAAAACAATTAAAATGTTCCACCGGAACAAGGTGTTCACCTCATTTAACTTATACTCCAGCACAGAAATAAAATCCTAAGAAAATGAAATATTAAATTTAAGACGCTCAAAGAAAAAACAAAAAATTACCTCTTCCAACAACCACAACCGGTCTATGTTTCAACATATTTTTATCCATTTCATCTATGCGTGAATAAATGGCGCTCAGCTTTTGATTCACGTCTTCACTGTTGTCACGTGGACAACAGATACACCGGAAGAGTTTTCCAAACGTTAGTTTGAACCCATCCTCGCCCTTTTCGGCTTTTGCTGCGCTGAAAAGTTTCATCAAGGCAGCTTTGGCTGAGTTGGTTGTCTTCTCTTTTGCGTTTTTAGGTTGCTGTTTCTCATTATTGGGAGTTGGCATCTCTGCAACCTTGACCTCTCTCGTGCCCCATGAGACCACGTGCAAGTTACACATGGAGTATATAAATAGCAACAGGTACATACTGGGAATGAGCAGATAATACAGAATCCCGGCAAACACACAGGCGAATTCCTGAGGATGGAGGATAGCAGCCAATAGAAAGGCGCCAGCCACAAGGAAAAAGAACAAGGCGGTAGGGGAACAGTACCCTTCCTCATTCATCTGCAAGCTGATGCTGACCAGTACCAGCGCCATCACTAGGGCGTAGATAGCGGACATAACGGCTGCTACAAACAGCTGGAATATAAAGCATTTGACCCTGCATTCCACTGAACTTTGGTGTTGTGGAGTTAAATGGCAACATATTCATTAATCAAACAAGTTATTCCAATGAGACAGAAACCTTTTTTGGAAGAATCGTATAAAAATAGGAACTTTCATGATTTTATGCTGGTAACAAGGAGTGGAGTGCGCTTCTTCATGTTTAAATGGACAAAACATACTAACATGGAATTTTTGGTGTCCTTCACAGTTTTGTGAATTTACCTGCATGGATTTACTTCAGTCCAAGTATTTCTCATATTTAATGATGCAATATATACGTCAGTATTCAATATGTATTTTCCATCTTGAAGATATGAAAACATAACAAACACCAACCTGAATCTTTGTACTTGTCACATAACACAATATTATGTACATTATGATAGGCACAATGTTAATGAAAAAGGCTTTATCATCAGGATTAAAGCCGTCTGGCCAGATGTTGATAGTTTGGAAGGCTCCTACAACCACCAGGAATATTGTTCCCGGTCCTAAGATGGAGGACACAAGGAGACAGGCTTGGTAGATGATGTATAACATGGAGATGTCCTGGTTCACCTGAATAACCAACATATTGCATATTAGTTGCATAAATGTACGCGTAATGTTATGGTACACATTGGCCTTGACATCATTTTGTTCTGTTTGTTTGTACCATTTGGTTTGTTATGCCTGATTGTACAATCATACTAAAGTGACATGTACATTGTGTTACATTGTGTAACAGTCGTAAATTTTGTCACTACCCCAACATTTTATAGAACGAAGAGAAATCAATGACAATTTTCGTTAAAGTTATTCCTTAGTTTCCGCAAAATTTAACTCACTGTTGGTTATGTTAAAAGGCATCGAATTAACAGAAGGCGCTAGATGGTATACCTTGACAGTATGTTTGAAACTGAGGAGCAAGTCCATAACGTTAGCCATAGTGGATGGTGACCAACGTCTTCTTTGGTTGAAAAATTCGTCAAAGGTCTCTGGAGCGTAGGTAAGAGCGTCAGAAGCAGCACTGTACTCCACGCGGTATCCTTGCTGTAGCAACAGGGTGCACAGCCAACGATCTTCACCTGCAACACGGAACATGGTAGCAAAGCTGTCAAATAGATGTAAAAATGATAAAACAAACATATGTAGGGGCGGTAAAATAATCTAAGGATTATTATATGATGTATGACATTTCACAAAATGGTTTTTGGTGCAATATTTCATAATATTAAAACTGCAGGGTAGGTCTTTCCACAATAGACTCTTACTCCTTTTTCTGGGGATTAAGCCTTTTTTAGTTTTTAACGGTTTCTTTACGATAAATTAACCTTTGGCCTCCTTTTCTGACACCTGCCATAACACTAATAATCTGGCAAAATCCCTAAGACTACGCTTAAGCATTGCGTTTTTAACACCACACTCCCATCTTCACGAGATCCCCGGAGGCCCTACGTGTATAACTGAGACAATATGGTCGACTGGCGGCAAGGTTCGTCAGGAGGTTAGAAACTTGGTTACTTTTAACGACATGAATGTATGATGTTTATCTCTTTAAATGTGATCAAAAATGGTAAGTATTACAAGAAGTGGATTATGTACTTGAGCTATAAATGTTACACTTTGTCACTTTACCATGGACACCAAGAAAATAAAAGCGGCATAGAGGATCAGACCTATATTAATTAGAAATATTAAGCCATATGTCAACAGTCATTTTTCAACATGCCGTCATCTTTCATTTCAAATTGTTATTCATGTTAATATCAACGTTGCGATCCAATATTCCTCTCCTAATAAATCAATGGAAAACGCATGTTTTGTATTAAATATATTGTGTAAAATAAATTGTTTTTTATTCAAAAGAACACTTCTGCCTACCTTGGTCGTATTGTAAGTAGTGTACAGCCTCGGTGGGAGTGGTCGCGTATTTCCGCATCACGTTGTCGTCCATGAGAGCAGAACCGCGAAACAAGCTGAAACATCCGGGGCTGCAGAGAACGCAACCAATCATATGTTCCGTTGCCTTCTGGAACCAATGAGAGATGGCATATTCGAACTTCTGGTACCAAACCATAGGACCTTAAATAAAGAGGAGGAATTGAATGGTTGAAATAAAAAGAGAGGGGTAATGTCAAATAAAATAAAAAAGGGAATTTGCAAGAACTGGAAGATACATGAATATATACCCACATCTTTTATTTTATGCCAAGGTGTGAGATGTCTTAAAGAAGAGAAATTGTCTATGTAGGCTATGCTTTTGCTGTATACTCTCAAAGTAAATTTATTTGCCTTAATCGGCTTTGATTCATCTATACCTGATCCTATAGGGTGAATACGACCGCATGCAGCCCCCACGTTTTCGTTCCTCTTCATCAGGTCCACCAGAATCTGGACGGCCGAGGGCTGGAAGTCAACGTCGCCGTCAAGAGCGAGAAGAAAGGTGTTTTCAGCCAGCTTTCCAACCTGTTTTACGTTTTCTACCTTCTGCATCAGGCGGTAACCCAGGAAGTAGTAGAGATACATCACCTGAAATTATTGAAAAAATTGCGCAGATTTTTAAAATTTGGAATGCGTTTACCTTGACTATTAAACAAGTTCAAATTATCAGAAATAATGTCAGTATACAATAAAATATTAATTACTCTAAATTTACCTGACTCCATCTTTTTCTATGCCGTATCTTTGCTTTATCTTTAAGATGAGCCACCAACTTATTGCCACCAGGTAGCTGCCATACAAGACGACCCCCATATGGAGTTGGGATCTTCGTAGGAGGAGGGATGGACATTGGGATTCGGTGTATGGCGCTGAAGATGATAAGTTCCACAAATTTTAAGAGTTCTTTGATTTTCAGGAAGTCATATTCTTCAGAGAACAATTATCTGGATGTTGTCATGCCAAATTTATGTGATAATGAGGAGCTTTGCTACCTCCTGTAACAATTAAATTAAAAGTGAAAGTGAAAAATAATGTGTATGAATTAAGTCACTGATACTCGTACGAAAGTATGAGTAGTAACTGGATTAAAATGAACATATGTTGGTCAAAGTGAAAACGTAATAAAATGTATGTTTTGCAATTGTCCTACTTAAATTGGGTTATTTTTTTTAAACCATCTGTAATGCATTATACAGGTATAAAATCAGTAATGTCAGTCAAGGCTCATACCTTGCAGCAATGTCCACAACACGAACCAATAGTTTGACAAAGTCGTTCACTGTGTAGTTAGGGTTGCCGTCCGCATGAGGAGTGAACGCATCATCAAAGAAAATGTGACCTAAACAGGTTAAATAGAGTGGCTTATTGTGCAATATCGTTGAATGTGAATGTTTTGAAGTAAAAAGAGAGATTACTCCATCAAACGAGGAGTTTATGATAAAAATCCACCAATGGTCCCCTCTTGAAGTTAGAATTTTGACTTGCTGAATTATTATACCCCACGCCAAGGGGGGAGGGGGGTCGGCTTGGCATCCGCGGACCCCCTTGGATGTTGGTTTGTGGACAAGATAATTTTTCGATAAGTTTTAACGAAATTTTAGGATATACAGACATTAAGGAGGTAAAGAAGTAACTGCAATTTCAGCTGAATCCAGATCTCCTGAAATATTGCACCAGTATCTTCTTGTTATCTTACATTTTGCCTCGGCAGAGGTCTGCATTCCAGGAGTGTTCTCTAGTTATCTTTTTCTTTGCTCACCTTATTCCTTACTAACGATATTTTTTTTATTCCGAAATACATCCGTCTTTCTCTTTCATTTCGGATACAGTCCAGAACCCTTGTCGTTTTCTCCGACCATACCAACAACAAAAGTTTTAATTTTAGATCTTACCTTCAAACTCATAATAATCCGGGTCATTTACGTCGAAATATTGCTGCGCCAGGCGACGGGAGCACTGGTCCATGTCAAGTCTTCATGCGGCACAAGAAATAGACACATTTTACAATTTTAAATGTTTACTTTTTTAACAAATAAAAAGGCAAAAGAATCAAAATTTTAATTTTGTAAAATCACTGATCGATACACAAGTGTATGTAGCAGATGCCACAAAAATCTTAATCATCACAAATGCTGTAAAATGTATTCAACTGTGCACAAGAAACCATTAACGAATACGAAAGAGGTGACTCGTACAACGACAAATTGTAACACATCGTCTGCCCCTTTCTCCTTCCCTGTTTCCGTTCGCACCCTCCCCTCCTCCAAGTCCCGCAGGTGGGGGAGGGGGGGGGGCGAAAGACCCACCCTGAACCAAAGTATGACAAAAGTCCTGTGTCATTTATCATGTTGGGTCGACCGCTGGGATCAAAGGTTTCCTTTTAAAGAAAAAGCCCCCACCCCTTTGAAACTGCGATTGTATGACAGCTACAGACCTGCCTCCTGTGTTTTAATTGTCTGTGCTTTAAATAATAACCTAACCTACCTGAAGATTGACTTCAGCATCTGTAACATCTCGTTCTCCGTCTCGTGCCACATGGTGGCGCAGATGTAGATCAAGGGGGTCTTGGGGCTTCGCCTTGCTACGGAAGCGGTATAAACACGTTCGGTGTCGTCGAACGATTTGGGGTTGTTCATTACCTCCTCCACGCGCATAAATTCCCGCACCTAAAAGGTGAATCAAATATATCATTTTTTATTTTAAAAAAATTCAATCATCGTTAAGTTGTGCTAATGACATTTCAGTGCTTTTCCTTAATTTTTTTCTAAATCAGGTGAAATACATGTTGTCAAACAAGCTTCAATTTGCAATCCATAATTTTTTTCTATTTGAGAACCATAAATCATAAATGCCATGTATTCTTGCAAAACGCTATACATCCATGTGCGTCTAAAGAAATTTCTTTAGATGTACATGGACAGATGTGATAAAGCTAGAAGCATGTCACCCACCTTTTCGTTCCTCACAAACTCCCTGTCGTCTCGGCGCCTGTTCAGCTTCATGTCCTGTTCAAGAAGAATGCTGCAGTTGAACGGCTTCACAAACAACCTGTTGTGGAAATAAGGATAAAATAAAAATACCTTTATTTTTACTGTTAGAGGAAGGAATATATCCAGCACATAAACATGTCAAATATACATTATCTATCTTTCTGAATCTTTACCACGAAACACACATTTTCAAAACAAAACTTCAATTCGAATTAGAGCAATTACTTGTTCGTTATTATTTGTTATTTTTGCCTATGTATATCAATTAAGAGAGAGAGAGAGAGAGAGTTAATTTACTTCTCTCCTTTGGCCAGTCGTCCAGATCTTGGCATCCAGATATAGAAAGTTATCCATGCAAGTGACGACCACCAAATTATCCATATCCAGCTGTATTTCTCGATCAAATCGTTGCTTAATTCGGGAATATTCCACTGCAGGTAAGGAAGAGTGAACTGGAAAAGCAAATTAATATGATTAATTATTTGGGGCTTTAATGAAATTAAAGGGGTGGGGTCAAAAGAGATTTTGGCACGAATTGATACAGTCACCGGGAGGGGGAGGGGTCGACTGATAGTTACAGGCTACCTAATGGAGAAAACTGGAATATACAGTATATAAACACTGCTCTGCTCAAACCCTGCTCAGTTCATTTTGGTGTTTTAAAATGTATTTCAGGTTTTTCGTTATCTTATTTGGAAATGTGAATGTTACAGAAACAAATAAATAATAATCAAAGGAAAATGTGTTTCGTATACTTACAGGGAAATGCGATTTTTCATCCAAGGCTAGGGGCATGAGTATGGCAACTGCTAAAGGTGTCGCCACCGATAGGGGAGCAGCAAAACTAACCCGCTGCATCTGTATCTTACAGGCCGTTTTAGCGCAGTACCAGCAGACGAGACTACAGCACACCTGGTATTATGCAAACATTCGTGGAAATAGCATTTAAAAAGAAACACAAACAATACTTTAAATTAATTTTAATTGTCATCATTATTTTAAAGTCAGTGTGTGAGCAATA